GATTGGGATGATAAATCGGATGGTCTTGAAATGTGGAAACAATTTTCCACTGATTTTTCCAGGAGCACCTCATTGTAAACTTTTCCCACTGTCCATAAAACCAATTTAGTTTACTGACATTGTGGAGAATATTACTACTATTTATGACAATTGTTATTTGAAAATTGAACACGTACTGTGCTCGTTCAGGAGTATAGTTTCCTCTCGTTGTACGAAGATTTACTTGGTAGGAATCTTTCAATCTAAAATTTTGAGAACCATCTAATAATTATTTGATGATTATTTTCAAAAGAAAATTTTAAATTTGAGTTTTATAACACTTAGATCTCACCATCTAAAAACTGGAAAGTCTTTAGTCAATCTTGAGATATTATTATTTTTTCTAATGTATAGAGGGTACAATTAGGAATTTCTTTTTTTATTGAAGTTAATACATAGATTGAAGAGGTAACATCCCAAAATTTGAGGTCCTAAAATTAGTTTTAGGTAGGTTTTACCCATAGTTACCAAGTCGGGGAGGATCAATATATCGACTCACCATAAAATAAAAAATAAATTGGTTTTATTCTAAAAAATCGGATGAAAAAATCAGGTAAAAAATACGGATCAGCAAAAATACTCTCAGTAAAAATAATCGAATTAGGCTCAAAAAATCATAGTGAAAAAAACAGATAAGTTTAAAATTTTAAAATTATAAAAATAAAAATATGCCAAATCCATCAATAACTAATTCATCCATAAAATTTTCACTAAACTAATATAATTAAATCAATCAATTTAAATGCCTCAAGAGTAATAACTCTCCTCCCATCATCCAAAATTAAATATAAAATTCACGTCTCAAGAGTGATGACTCTCCTCCCATCATTCAAAATTAAATATAAAATTCACTAGAAACAGGATCGAGACCCCAAATACCCTCATGACCGCACTGTCATTTTTCTATAAAAAGATAATCTTCTTACATTGCGGTCATCAACATGCACTTGCCCTGCACAATCACATGAATGGACAGTCTTAAATGTCAACAATTTGTTTTAAAGGCCATGTAATTTCCATATCTCTTCAATGTGGGACAACCACCGAATCCATCTACTACTCCATTTTCTATTAGTGTTTACTAAATGTTTGATTAGACTATAGAGATACTGCAGATTAAAAAAATGTTTGATGAGAATCTTTTAATAAAAAGCCTGTATGTGCAAGACTATAGATACTTTAGACAGGTGGGAAGAAAATGGGCCGTAAATATTGGTGTTTACAACTTGTAATACAATGCAACTTGCATTGACTAATATTACTAGGATCTTAGGCATTATTTCATTATATAATTAATATTAAGATATTAGTTAATAGGGATTAAAAAAAAATATTAGGTCATAGGATATTAAAAAAGCAAAAAATATTACTAATACTAGTTTATTGAACAGTAAAAAAAAAAATATTAGTTACCCACATTTTTTTTCAAAATACGGGCTACATGAGCCCTCAATTTTGAAAAGAATTCCAGAGCTACCAATTTGCTACAGTAAAATAGTTTGATTTGCTACAGTGAACAATACATTATAAATTAAATGCTTTATAAATAGATCTTTATCTCTTATACAAGGACATCTATAAGATGAGATGGTCTATAATTCTTTTTAATATTATTTATATTGATTTATTTTTATTATTTAATCATTTTTTGATTAATTATATTTATTTATTTTTTATAATATACAAACATAAAATATATATAATTAATCATTAATTACTTCTAATTACACAAATAAAATTCCATGTAATAGTTTACAAAAAATGACATAATTATATGAAATTGTTGTACCAGTTTATAGGATATTAAAAAAAGCAAAAAATAACACTAATATTGGTTTATTGAACATTAAAAAAAAATACTAGTTTATGGGATATTTTAAGAGAGAAAAATAGCACTAGCTCATATCACTTTAGAATTTATTTCAAGTTACTTTATCAATTATCTCACATTGCAAATATGCATTTCTTTAGTTGTTTTTCTAATTTTATTAAAATATGATTACAAATTTATGTTACTAAATTCTATATTTCTATCAACACTAATTATTATACATTAGATTTATTTATATACCTTTGTTTTTTGAATCACGTTTATTATAATATTGCAATTAATAATTATACTAATTACAATAATAATCAAATCTTATATTTTATTTATTAATTTATTTATATTATAAATTATGCAAATGTATTATTTTTTGTTATAGTTGTAAATTCGATTATCAAATTAGATGATATTATAAGATAAATTTCAAATTTATTCTTATTTGTATAGTAAATGGTGATAAAATGATAAAATACAAACTAATAATTTCAATGCATAATTTTGTATTTAGTTAGGTTTTAATAAATGTTCGATGAGAATCTTCATACAGAGAAAGATCATCTCAATATTCACATATTGATGCAAAAAAAATAAAAGTTATTAATGTAGTACCCTTATTTCTTATTGCATTCATAAAAAACAACATTTATAATGATTTTTAATAATTTTTTTGGATTTTTTTAAGGCTTAATCCGACCGATTCCTGATCAGAATCATCGATTCACCGATCCGGATGGATTTTTGTGATACCCGATACGGGGCACCGATCAGTTTTTTAAACCACTGAAAAAAAAGATATGAAAATAAAGGTTACATGAAATAGATAAAGGAAAAAGTTTATATAAGGCTGCAACCTTATAATGTAGAGCTACGGATGCCCCTCAAAAATCCATCAGAAAAGGTAGTTTTGATATTGAAAAACCCTTTGATTGATCATCTCGACATCGAGATGTATGACCATGAAAAATAAAAAGATTTTAAGTCTAAGAAATAGTACATTTTATGACATATTATCTACACCGTCCATTTTCAAGATTTTCATATGTTTATAGATCTACTTGATTTTAACCATTTTTGAAATTTAAAATTTTATAATTAGATATAAAAATAGATGTTGAGGTAATCTTAAGAACATTTTACATTAAAATTATATACCATGATAAAATTTGAAGGCGCATCTTACCTCTGCAGCTACAGATGCATCCGTATGCGAACTGCACCCATAGATAAAAGGTATGAAAACTCAAGTTACATAAAATAGAAAAAAGGTATGAAAATAAAAGGTATGAAAACTCAAGTTACATAAAATAGAAAAAAGGTATGAAAATAAAAGTTACATAAACTAGGAAAAAGGTATTCATCTTTCACAGAAGAAAAAGATACGAAAATAGAATTTACATAAAATAAGTAAAATGTATGAAAATAGAAGTAACATAAAATAGAAAAAATGTATTCATCTTTCAAAAAAGAAAAAGTATACAGGTAAAAAAAGAAAAGTTTTTTTGAACCGATATTTTATGAAAAAGTTTCAAAAAAGATAATGGTATGAAAAGGATTTAAAAAATGTGTTTTAAACTTTTTTCATGAACGAAACACGTTTTTTTGACGATCTATTGAAAAATGTGCAGTTTAAAATGTTTTTCTAAAAACTCCGATTTTTTTAAAAGATCGTGTTTAAAACGGTGATAGCTAACTATGATTTTACCCGAGAGAGTAAATGGGCATTATGCTCAAGCGCGAGTATAATATCTTTTGGCTTGAAAATTGTTGGACATAACGGACTTTTCACATAAATAATTATACAATTTTTATTTAGAGATACATTAAAAATTTCCCAATTTTTCTTTAGAATGAATAAAACAAATTTTATATCATCATGTTAAAAAAAAAACAAAATTTATATCATCCACCTTATTAAATATTCAATCGAATGACATGTCAATGTGACCGCAATATGCAAAGACGAATATAGAAATTGGAATTTACCGATATTTCGAGTTTTCAACCTTATAAATTGTCCTTCATCGTGTATATACTGCAGCAGGCAAGGTTGGCCAGTATTTCCAATACTTTTCAGTTTTCACCATGTTTTATTTTAATAATTTTTTAATATTGGTGAAATTAATGTTACTAAACAAGTTAATGAAAAGGCTACTTATAAGTGAGAGATGCACGGGTCTTCATCATTGTTTTGATGGATCAGTGGGCTGAAGCTGTCACTCACTAGATCAAAGCTAGATCAGCCTACTTTTTGAACTAGCTCGGCCGACTCATTTGACCTGCCCCATCTACTTGCCTGTTTTTGTCTACATTATAAAATTCTAAACATGATTTGTAATAATTTACTCATGAAAATATGATTTTTATGGTGATTTTGGTTTTTTGGGTAATTTAATGAGAAAAACGTGGTTTACTTTTTTTTCAAATAGTTTAAGAGTTAGTTTTATCGAAGATGTTCATAGTGTAAGTCGTAGACTTGTGATTTGGGGACCACCATATCCCATATCCTACCGCACTTATTTATTGGTGGAAAACGGCAAAAACATATTCCATTGAACCAACATGTTTTTATATAAATATAGTAAAGGGCGAGCTTTCTATATTCCCTTAGGATAAAAAAAAACTTATATGTTTCCCCTTATTCAACCCCGTTCATTATAAATGGAGGGCTAAGATTGTCCCAATCACAATGTCACATTTATGCATTATTTTATTTTAAATTTTTTTATATAAATATTTTGACACCAAATTTTTGATGTCTAATTACCTATTAAACTTGCATAAGTTAAAAACATATAAAAATATTCTTAATAAAATAAAATGATCAAAATATCGTTAAAAGTTTCAAAAGGTATTTTGGTCTTTATATTTTATCAAAAAAATATTTTTACTATTTTTTAAGTTGTGCACCAATGAGAATATACCACATACAAATTTTCATATTCATACAATTTATATTAAAAATTTAAAAATAAAATACTTTAAGCCGTTGGATGTAGGATCAAACGGTGAGTTACTCACTTGATCAAAATTGGATAGCTGGATGGTAGAGAAAGCATAGATCTTCTATGATATCGGAGAAGTATAGAAACATTTTCCCTTTAATAAAACATAAATATATTATATCATCATCTAAGTTTTTTTTTTTTTTTCAAACAATTGAACCCAGCTACACAAATCGTGCTCGGCTCCATCAAGAGAGGTAAAACACTTTAAATAAAACCTGGGTAACTCTATATGAACACGCATCAAGTCTCACTATCATAACATCTTTCCCCGAAAAGAAAAGAAAAAAAAAAAAAAGAACTTCCCTCAAGCACAGGCAGGAAGAGGAGAGCCACAAAGACACTTGTTATGAATATAAGAGGAAGCACCGAACCCCTTCATTTCCCCACCTTGTGGAATAGCACCACATAGCCTGTTATAACTCGCATTGAACAACTGAATATTGTCCAACCCCACTATGGAATTTGGTATTTTCCCATAAATCGCATTATGGTTAATGTCCAAAGCCGTTAGCCCCTTGGGCAGCCCCACTTTCCCGAAATCGAAAACAAATTTATTTCGCGAAATATCGATCGAAAACGTGCTTTTCGTCGCCCCGAAAAGGTGAGAGACGTCTCCCTCCAATAAATTTCGCGAAATATCGATCCTTTCGAAATCGATCGAACCAAGAGATTTCGGCACCGGACCCGAAAGCCCGTTATGCGAGAGAAAGAGGTAAGGGGTATTTCCGCGGAACAGACCGAAGCTCGCCGGAATCTCGCCGGAGAGTTGATTCCGGTCGAGGTGAAGGGTCACAAGGTTAGGAAGTTGGGATAAAGTGGCAGGAATTTTGCCCGTAAATTGGTTAAAAGAGAGATCCAGAAATGTCAAGCCGTTTAGCTCCCTCAGCCATTCCGGTATTTGGCCTGAAAAGCGGTTCCAGTCAAGGCTGAGAAATGTCAGCTTTCTGAGGAGCCGAATATTTGGCGAAATCTCGCCGTAAAGGTCAAGTTTTCTCAGGGTGAGCTGAGTTAAAGCGGTGAGTTTTCCGATGGAATCGGGGATTTTTCCGGTCAAATTCCCGGCAAAGATAGCGAGCTCGGAAACGCGGCCCGTGTTGGTGTCGCATGTGACACCATACCAGTCACAACAGTCCGTGTTCGGAGTCCACGAGGGGAGGTGGTAGGGGTTGTTTAGGGATTTCTTCAACTCGAGTAAGGCAGTTTTGTCTTTTCCGTAGCAGGCAACGGCGTCGGTGACGGAGAGGACGGAGGAGAGGAGGGCGAGCAACGGAAGCGTAACGGATGTCAATGAGAGAGAAGCCATTTTGAGAAGAGAGAGAGAAAGGGATCGAGTGTGACTGAGTGAGAGAGAGAGTGGATGGGGTATTTATAGGGGTGGGAGAGATGAGGAACAAACCGTTAAAGACGAAATTTGACATAAAGAAATATGGTAATGACCGTTGGGTATCTGGTCACATGTGGAGCTGCATTTTGTCGAGTGCTCAGTGTTTCTTTTGAGCTTTGACGGACTCCGAAAACGCCGTCAAAGTGCGCTAACGGTACGTATAGCTCCCGCGCAAAAATGTCTTGTCAACAAATATTTACATTAATAAATTGAGTTTTATCTAGTGTTAAAAAATCGCCGATCAGATATCGGTGATAACATATCTAAATAGAGTATCGGTAAAATCGGCGGTTCTTTACTTTTACATTTTTCAATTCGGTTTCTTTTTATGCACCTACAATGGTTTGGTTTTTTTGAAATGTGATACATTTTTATTCCAACCGGCACTTTTTACTTTTTCATTTTTCAATTCAGTTTTCTTTTTATACACCCACCTTGATTTGGTTTTTTTGAAATGTGACACATTTTTATGCCAACTGGCATTCCACATTTCTCCCCCATATGAATTGTTCGCACTCCACCTTAAATGACCTTACTCCTCAACGTGAATGCCAAGTGAAGGTGGCCTCACTCCCCCACGTGTATGCCAAGTGTTGGTGACCTTACTCCCCCCACATGAATGCCAAATATCCTTATTCCCCCACCCACATGAATGCCAAAAGTCCTTACTCCAACGTCGGCAAATATTATTAGCTTGAAATAAATTGCAGTGAGATGGTGTACGAGCGATGGTGTACGTACGACAGTGTACGTCCGTCATAAATAAAGAAGTTGTATGTCCGATTGTGGCAATGAAATTTGATGATAAAAAAAAAAAAATATTAAAAAATAATAATTAGGTTCCGATCACCCATATCTTTCACCAAAAAAATTTAAATTTACTTACCAAAAAAACATAAAATCTCTATTAAGCTTTTATATCTTGGTATTATTTCATTATATGAGTAATAATTAATTAATTAGTTAATTACGATTAAAAAAATAGTACTAGCTCATAAGATAAAAAAATAAAAAGTAATACAACAAGCAAAAAAAAATGTAGTACAACATCTTCTTCTTTTGTCAAAAAAAAAAAAGAAGATAATCAACAAGTATCATATTTTTCTTGTTAAAAAAAATAAAAGATAATACAATGAGTATTTATTGTCAAAAAAATAAAAGGTATTTCTTAATACAACCTATGAATAAATGGCCTAATTATATTTTTATTTTTATAACATGATGGTCTTTAACATAAATTTAGTAATATTAATTTAAAGATAGGATTCATACAATGAGGCCATTTGAAATCTCTCTCTTTCTACTAACAATCTCTTCCATTAATTTATTTTAGAAACCTAAAAAATTAATGAAAATTGGTACGCATTCTAATAATTTCTACATTGATAACCAAATCTTTTATTTTATTTTTAAATTTTTGTATTATAAATCATGTAGTGTAATATTTTTCTTACAGTTGTCAATAATACATTTTAAATTAGATGATATTATAAAATATTTTGGATTTTTTGTTATTTCTATAATAAAATAATTATAAAATATTGTTGGTATATAATATTATAATTAGTTAGGTTGTAATAATTTGGGTTTTTTTAGCAGATTAGGGTTTTCCGTCAATTCGAGATTTTAGTAGCCAATTTTTCATCGATTTAGTCAACTCTTTATTGTAGTCCATATATGATTATATACTTAATCCATGATAATTCTATGATTTATTTTGTGTGATGTAAATTTAATGGTGAACATAAGTTCATACATGGAAAGGACATCTCAATATTCATAAATTGATGAAAACAATGAACGTTAATAATGTAGTATCCTCATTTCTTATTGCATTCCTAAAAAACAATATTTATAATGAATTTTAATAATTTTTTCAGATTTTTTTGAAGCTCTAATTAGATCGATTCAGCCGATTCTCGATCCGGAACGTCGATTCGCCGATCTAGATCGGTTTTTGAGGTGCCCGATCGGGGTCACCGATCCGTTTTTTAAACCATTGGTTTCATCCATTTGGTTTGTATAATTGCAAATGTATAATGGAAAAAGTTTATATAAGGATGCAACCTTATAATGTAGAACTACGGGGAATAAGTAGTTTTAATGTTAAAAAAATCGTTTGATTGATCATCAAGATGTATGACCATGAAAAATAAAAAAATTTAAGTCTCAATAATAGTACATTTTACAACATATTATCTACACCGTCTATTTTCAAGATTTTCATGTGTTTATAGATCTACTTGCTTTTAATCATTTTTTAAATTTAAATTTTTATAATTACATATAAAAATAGATTTTGAGATAATCCTAAGAGTATTTTACATCAAAATTATATACTACGATAAAATTTGAATGTGCGCCTTACCTCTACAGCTAAGAATACATCTATATGCCAACCCATGTATAATAAAAGGGAAAGTATATAATGGGGCTAATCCCAGGGTTCAGATGGGATTAGCCCACTAGCTCATATAAACATATGAGCCCATCGTTCCAAATTAAATATGGGCCGATTTGACGATCAAGAATGTCCGTTAGTGTTTGAATTTTAGTTTTTTTTCTATAACTCCAAATTACTTGAAATTTTAGACGCGTGTTTATAAAAAATAAATGAACCTTGGAAAAATATCAAAAAAATATTTTACATGAAATAAATTAACCAAAGTACCCTCGAAACGTTTCAAATGTATTTTGGTTATTTTTTTCAGGAATAATTTTTTTTTATATTTTTATTAGGTGCGCCTTGATGAGAAGAACACATACCTAAAATTTCAAGTGATTTGGATTTGTAGACAAAAAAATAAAATTTAAACACTACCAGACATCTGTGATCGTCAGATCGATCCAGATTCAATCTGGACCGTTGGACTCATATGTTCAAATGAGCTATTGGGCTAATCCCATACTTTTCTTATATAGGCTAATCCCATATTTTTCTTATATATATATATATATATATATATATATAAAATTTGTAACTATATCAAATTTTAGAGTGAGAAAGTGCATAAACATTTAGGAAAAGAAACTATTGCAAAAAAAATTATAGAGAAATTTTCTCAAATTTCAGCTTTTAGAAAGAGAAAATATCTTAAAATTTGAGAGAACAACTATATCATATTTTAGAGAGTGAAACTACTTAAAAATGTTTAGATAGAGAAACGTTCTCAAATTTATTGAACAAGGGAACTATCTCAAGTTTTAAGTTTTAGAGATAGAGTATTTTAAAATTTTGGAAAGAGAAATTATATTAAATTTGATAGAGAGTAAAGCACCTAAAAATTTAGAAAGAGAAATTATCTCAAAAGTTTTAGATAGACACTTTCAAATTTTAAATTTTGAATAGAAAGCATATTAAATTTTAGAGAGAGAAACCATATCAAATTTTAGAGCTAAAAAGTATCTCAAAATTTTGAGTTTTAGAGATAGAAAGCATATAAAAATTTTACAAAGAGAAATTGTATCAAGTTTTGTTACCAAACAATGAACATGGAAGTGATTGCAAGGAATCCATGAATTTTGTATAGTTTATCCAAACAAGAGATTTGAGGAATCCATAACAAAATCCTTGATATTGAAAATCCATAGATTTCCTTAGGATTTCAAATATCTAAGATTCTTAATTTCCTCCTATCGAAACGAGCCCTTAGGTTTGGTGTTGGAGTCCTTGATCTTCCTCATAAAATTTCTTGGAATGGGTTGAGGTTGTATCGTAACACTACTTGAGTCTCAGTTTACCGGTCTAGGTTTTCATTCTCACTTACAATTCGAAAGCCTACTAAATATTTTTAAAACGAGCATGGGCATGTATTCCTCAATGAATAAAAACCTATATTTCTATTTCTAAGTAGAAGCCTAGATTTAATTAGAAAAAAAAAAAACCAAAACTATTCTTTCTATGCAACTTACCCCAATCCAATTTTTTCTCTCACTTTTTTCTCCAAAATATACTTTCTACGCAAAAATTCATCAACCAAATTTAAAAAAATACCTAAACTACCCTCCTTTACTTTTACCTTACCCACGCCTCTCTCTCCTCTATCCCGCTGAAATAGAGGGCTACGACACCATGTACGTGCAAGGTCCGGCAATAGTGCTATGGCACTATGTAAAGTTCGGTCTGGCTATAAGGCTCTCACACTTTGTAAAATGCGGTCTGGCAGTAATGCTCCGACAGTGTGTAAAGAGTGGTCTAGCAATTGAAAAGGATTGTCCGGCAATTGCAAATGGTAGTCCGGCCGTTGCAAAGGGTGGCCTGACAGTTGTAAAGGGCGGTCCGGCACTTGCGAGCTCCGGTAATGTGATGGTGCGCTCTTGCAATATGCTACTGGGTCCAAAAGCCATCGTCAAATCTATCCAAAATGATTTTTGTGTACGAGAAGGGCATTTCCGTTTAAAAAAGATGAACTTTTTCCTTTAAGGGGTATTTGCATAAAAAGTTTGTTTTTAAGAAAAAAGTAAAAGAAAAAGTTAGATTAGGCTAAGTTCCATAAAAAGTGTAGTCTTGAGGGTTTTTCTGTAATTTTCCCATTTAATTACTCGAATAGATCCAAGAACATTAACATTGAGAAGAAAAAGAATGTTAAAACTTTTTTATGTGGAAGAACAACCACAAACATGCGAGGAAAAGATAGTCCGAATATTGAGTAGCTTCCATGCTGAGTTCGATTGGTAAAGGTCCGTTTAAGAGTAAGAGAGAGTTCATGGGCATGGGAGAGAGAGTCAGTTTTCATATGCATGCTCACAAGTGCTGATAAATGAAACAGCAAAGCAAAAACGATTGCCTCACAATTTCCTAAAATTTATAATAGAAATTACTTGAAGATAAAAAAATAGCTATAATTTCACAGACATGAATTTGAACCAAGTAAAAAATCTTGTATAAAGATACAATCGTTGAAGGAGTTCAAGCATTCGCCGACCCTGAATAGTTAGAAAAAAGCTATAATGAGTAAGAAATCTTATATAAAGACACAATCGTCTAAAGAGCTCAAGCAAAAGAATCAGTCGCCGACCCTGAATAGTAAGAAAAAAGCTCTAATAACATGGGTGTACTCAATGTGTGGAATTCCCTCATCTTTAATAATATTTGGATACTTCGGGAGGAGTCCAATTATTAATAGCTAGGAGTAATTGTAATCTCTTGTAATCAGGGTTTTAAAAATCTTCGAGTCGACATAGAAATCAGTCACCACGTGTCGATTCTTTTGTAAAATCGGGTGACTCGCCCTAGTCGACACCGAAATCGGTCACCACGGTCGATTCTTTTGTAAAATCGGGAATCGGCCGATCCAACATTAATGCTATTGTACAATATTTATAGGGCTTAAACTTTCTTCGATTCTTCGATGTGAGATTTGCGTTGAGTGATATAATGTTGAATAGTTATTCAATATAAATAATTATTGTAGAAAAATATTGAATATTGTGTGATGGGTTGTGGTGGTTATCAACTAGGTTTCTTCTGGGGATGTCCTAAGCTCGAATCTGAGCTTTGGGGATGCTATTGTGCAATTTTAATAATATCATGAAAAAAAGGTAAATAAAAAGAAGATATGTTTTTACTTTTGTCTTCAAAAAAAAATAAAAAAATATCATAAAAAAAAGAAGATAAATAAAACATAGGTTTTTACTTTTGTCTTCAAATAAAAAATAAAAAGAAGAAAATAATATCATAAAAAAAAAGTAATACAACAAGCATTTCTTGCTAAAAAAACAAAAAAGACAATACATCTTCTTTCTTTCTTGTAAAAAAAAAAGTACTAAAACAAGTATTTCTTGTCAAAAGAACAAAATAAAAGGTTTAAAAAATAGGAAAAATTACAAAAAAAAACCCAAAATATACTATTCACTCAACTTACCCTCACCCAAACTTTTCCTCACACTTTTTTCTCCTCAACAAGCTTTCCTCGCAAAAACCCCTCCAAAGTAAAAAGTTGTAATTTTTTTTACAGAAATACCCTTAATGTAAAATAAAAATTCAATTGGCGGTTCGAAGTTGCCTATTGCCAGAGCGAAGGACAACAATGCCGAACCGCTTTGAAATGGCTGTCGGATCACAATGGCCACTGCTGGAGCAAGATCAAACAATGCCGGAGCACGCTGCCACACCACTGGAGCGATGTGCTCCAAAAGAGTATTACCAGAGGGCATGTAGATATCATCGGAGCGACGTACTAAACCGTCGGATCAAAGTGGCTTACTGCCGGAGGAGCTGATCTTGGAGCCAGAGCGCTCTGGCTCCAAAAACTTGTCTACCGGAGCATGTTTCTAGAGTGCCGCAGCGCGTGGGAAAAGCTTCAGGTGCGTAGAGAAGGGGTATGAAGGCAAAAGGTATTTTGGATACTTTTTCTTTTTTTTTTGGTTGGAGGGGTTTTTGCGAAGATAATTTGTTGAAGGGAAAAAGATGAGAAAGAAAAGTCATAAAGGGGTACGTTGAGTGAATAGTATACTCTTGGAGGGGTAAGTCATAATGGCAGCATAAGGGGGTAAGTCATAATGGCAGAAGGGCGTAAGTCATAATGGCAGCATAAGGGGGTAAGTCATAATGGCAGCATCATTTTTTTTTTTTTTGTTAAAAGAATGAAAAAAGTAATACAACAAGCAAAAAAAAGAAGTAATATAACATCTTCTTTTTTTCTTGTAAAAAAAAAAAAAAAAGACAATACAACAAGTATTATATTACAAAAAGATAATACAACAAGTATTTCTTGTCAATAAAAGATATTTCTTAATACAACAGATATTTTTTAATACAAACTAAAAATAACCGATTTAATTATAATTTTTATTTTTATAATATGGAAATCTTTAACATAAATTTAAGAATATTAATTTTAAGATAGGATTCATACAATGTTGAAATATCTCTCCGTCTCTAACAATCTCTTCCACTATTTATTTATTTATTTGCATTATAAATCTTGTAATGTACTATTTTTTTTACAGTTGTCAATAATACATCTTAAATTAAATGATATTATAAGATATTTTGAATTTGTTATTATTTATATAATAAAATGTAAACCAACAAATTTCATTTTAATATATAATACTGTAGTTAGTTAGTTTGTAATAATTTTGGATTATAGTTACTTAGGTTGTAATAATTTAGTTTTTTTTTTAGCGAATTAGGGTTTTCAGCCAATTCGAGATTTTAGTGGCTATTTTTTCATCAATTTAATCTATTATTTAATGTAATCTATATATGATTATATACTTTATCCATGATAAGTCTATGTTTTTTGTCTTATGTTATGCAAATTTAATAGTTAATATAAGTTCATACAGGGAAAGAACATCTCAATATTCGCAAATTGATAAAAAAAATGAAAGTTAATTATGTAATCCTCATATTTTTTATTGGATTATTAAAAAACAACATTTAAAATGAATTTTAATAATTCTTTAAGATATTTTTTAAAGTTTAATTTGACTGATTTGATCGATTCCCGATCCAGACCGCTAATTCACCAATCCGGATGGATTTTGGGGTGCCCGATCTGAGGCACCGATCCGTTTTTGAAACCATTGCTTGTAACAAAGATAATTGGTCTCATGCGTAAAATCCCAAGAAAGGGAAAAAAAAGAAGAAGCAAACCCTCAATCACTGGTGAAGCCAATATCTCCTCTATATTCTCTCTTAAAATCGAAGGTCCCCACCACATGAAACCATTTTCCTAATTTTATTTGTCTCTTATTTTTCAATTCTGAAAAAAGAGCAACAGTCGGAGGTTGATCTCTATATAATTTTTGTAAAAAATGCATATAATAATAAATGCATTGAAACCCAGTCCATATTTAACATCAGTTGAAATTTATGAAATTTAAAGCTCTAAAGAAGGTGCAAATCGAGTATATTTACCAACAATTGAAATTTTTCAAAATAAGTAACCCATATAATGTGTCACCAGATACATTATTTTTTGAACTCAAAATCCTTATTTTTTTCATCTCCATCTTTCACGAGATTGAGATGATTTTGAAATGTTGAGACAACATTTTTTTGATGGATTTTCAAGGAACACTTTACTTCTTTAATATTAGGTTCACACCTTATTGTAAAATTTTCACACTATCTATATAACCCATTTAATTTACTAATATTCAAGGTTTGATGTGTCGGGGTATAAAACCAAGTGGAGAATATTATTGACATTTATGATAATGGTTATTTTAAAATTAAGCATATGTACTATGCTATTTTGGGAACATGATTTACTTTTTCAGTTTACTTGAAAGGATTTTTTTTAATCTGGAACTTTGGGAACCATCTAAGAATCACTAGATGATTATTTTCAAAAGATAAAAATTTAGAATTTGATTTTTGTAATCGATAAATTGGATGGTCTCTACTCAATCTTGAGACTTCTTTTTTTTTTTAGTGCATAAAAGGCACAAATAGGATTTTTATTTATTTATTTAGGTTAATATATGTGTTGAAGAGGTCACATCCCAAGATTAGAGATCCTAAAATTAATTTTAAGTGGGGTTCTACCTTATGGAGTAAATGGATATTATACTCAAACAAAAGGATAATATCTTTGGCTTAAATGATTGGACGTATAAGACTTTTAACATAAATAATTATGCAAATTTTATTGGCAAACTATAAAAAATATATGTTAATAGACTATTGAAAATAAACCCCAAACTTTTTGAAACGTAATCCATACCTATTTTTTTCGCTTTTTGTTTTTTTTAAAACTAAAATGGCCTCAACGGTAGTATTAGGACCACGAAAACATCACGGTAGACTCAGTACTGAAATGGCCTGGGGCAGTTTAATGATTTGAGGCATCACGACACCTAAAAAGTCGAGATGGTCGTTAACTGCCATCATGACACCATTTTTCCGAAATCGAAAACAAACTTATTTCGCGAAATATCGATCCAATACGTGGTTTTCGTCACCCCGAAAAGCTGAGAAACATTGGCCTCCAATAAATTTCTTGAAATATCGATCCTGCTGAAATTCATCGAACCCAGAGATTGCGGCACCGAACCTTAAAGCCCGTTATGTGAGAGATCGAGGGTAGGGGCCTTGCCGCGGAACTGACCGAAAGTAGACGGAATCTCGCCGGAAAATCGGTTGAAAGAGAGATCGAGAAATGCCAAGCGGTTCAGCTCGCTTAGCCATGGGGGTATTTGGCCTGAAAACCTGTTCCAGTCAAGGCGGAAATAGGTCAGGTTTCTGAGGAGACGAATTTTGGGCGAAATTTCGCCGTACAGGTCGAGTTTTCTCAGGGTGAGCGAAGTTAAAGCGGTGAGTTCTCGGATGGAATCGGGGATTTCTCCGGTCACAGTTGTGGAGGTGATATCGAGTTTGGAGACACGGCCCGACTCGGTGTCGCATGTGATACAATACCAGCCACAACAGTCCGTGTTTGAACCCCACGAGGCGAGGGCGTAGGGGTTGTTTAGGGATTTCTTGAACTCGAGTAGGACAGTTTTGTCTTTCTGGCAGCACGTAACGGCGTGAGTGACGGAGAGGAGGGCGAATAATGGAAGAGTAGCGGAGGTGAATGAGAGAGAAGCCATTTTTTAAGAGAGAGGGATCGAGTGTAAGAGAGAGAGAGGAAGGGGAATCTTGTATGGGTGGGAGAGGAGACGAACAAATAGTTAAGACGTAGTTTGCCCTAGAGAAACATAGTAATGCCTGTTGGGTACCTGGTAGCCGCATTTTTGTGGACTCCACACTGTTGGTCAAAGCGCGTGAAGCGATAAGCAATGGCAAAAATAAAAAAAGGTCACAATTACAACCATCCCAGGTGAAGAAAACAAAACCATGCTTCTAAAAACTATACTCTTTGAGGATGAGGGTTAAAAACATGAAATGTATAACCTTTTTTGCACTATTGGGCGAATTTAAAACTGTCTTCTTTTATATGATAATTGGTGTTGCAATCGTAGATTGTCCTCATTCAAATCTATATTATCGTCCTAATTCAAATCTATGAAAATGAGGTTGAGGTTGTGGTAGCACCACTTGGACCATAGCAACCGGTATAGATTTTTGTCCCCATTGACAGAAAACTATTGACTATTTCTAAAACTGTTAGAGGCTTGTATTCATCACTTATCTATCTAAAAAAACTATTTTTTTTTATGAGATTATTTACAAAGATACCATTTATCTTTTGTATATGAATGTTACAATCATTATTATCCTTTAAATTACAAAATGAGTGGTTATAAGAGTTGCATTGAATAGACACAAAGTTTCAAGACTTCATAACTCACTCTCAACCATCCACTTTGATATCTAATGAGTGGGAATGATTATGACTTCTATGTACACAAGAAAATGGTCTTTTTGTGGACAATCCCGTAATTTATTTGAGAAAAAATTACACACAAACAAGATATCAACACGTTTGTTATGGTATGGGTCACACTTGTTTAAAAAATTATGCGGAGACCAAACCCGGCCCGCTGCCCTTTCTTTGTAGAATTGCCCTTCTGTCTAGTATTTCGAGCACCTAATAAGTGGAAAATCTCACAAGCTTTCGGCCATCTCTATTTCTAAGAGCATGTTTGGTTCTAGCAAAACCAAACAAACACACTATTTGATGTTTCTCACACCCGATGATTCAATTTATTAAGTTGTCGATCATTAGAAAAACCACACCTATTATAAGTAATTATTATTATATAGGAAAGATTTCGTATAAATGCCTAATTCATCATATTATTTCATGATAGACTCTCTTTCTTTCTTTTTTTCATGCTACATAAGGAAGTCTTTTAGGATTTCACCCTACCCCTCATATCTTATCTTTCTCTTTTATTGATTTTTTACCATAAAAATTAATCCCAACAAATCTTTTTATACCATTTCATCATAAATACTTTTTTAACCCTTTTTTTTTCTTTCCACCTATTAAAAAGGTTTTTGGGTTAAAATGGTATAAAAATATTTGTTAGCGTTAAATTTTATGATCGAAAGTCAATAAATGAAAGAGATAAGAGATGAGAGGTATGGTGAAATCTTTAGGACTTTTTTTATGCCGCTCGAAAGAAAAACCGAATGAAAGTCTATCATAAAATAATAAAAGGAATTAGGGTTATATATGAAAATTTTCCTATTATCTAATTAGTATAAAAATACTTATATAATGTAATTAAATTTTTTTGTTCCTTATTTTTCAACAAAAAAAAAAAAAGCAAGGACAGGTGGTCTTTAGATAATTTTCGTAAAAATGTGACCCACATTGTAATAAACGCGTGGAAATCCTACCCGTACGTAATTTTTTCCCTTAATTAAATCGACTAGTTCAGTTTTCAAAACACTGCTCTACCTCGGGCAAAGTGAGACATCGCTCCCACTAATGCCATCAAAGTCATTGGATGGGACCCATGAGCGAGATCTAATCGGTTCAAATTGATATTTGGATTGATTTGACTCAATTATCGATGGAGGTCGATTACCCAAATTATAGTAGAAACGGGCCCGGCCAGACACCCTGTAAGACCGGAATACGTTCAGCCCGGCCCGGAAAGTGACCATAAAAGGCCCGGAGTTAAGACTGTATTGGTTTGCGCTCAAGCCGGCCCATTAAGAAACCTCTTTTTTTTTATTTTTATTTTAATCTCACTCTTCAAAACTTTTCATGGTAATAATAATAAAAAAATGTATGCCAAAGTATTTTTTAGAGAGAGAAAGAGAGATTGAGTTTCTAGATGGAGAATTTGTTATTTAAAAGAGAAAAATAGATTGGGTTTTTAGAGAGAGAAAATACGTTTTAGAGATAGTCAGAGAGATTGGATTTTTAGAAAGACAGGTAGAGTTTTTATATAGAGAGATTGAGTTTTAGAGAGAGAGTTTTAGAGAGAATAATATTTAGAAAGAGATTGGTTTTTAGAGAGAGAATAGGCTTTTAGAGAGAGAGAGAGATTGGGTTTCTAGAGAGAGAATGGATTTTTAGAGATAGAAAGAGAGATTGAGTTTCTAGATAGAAAGAGATATTGGGTTTCTAAAAAGTGATTGAATTTTTAAAGAGAGAAGATACTGGTCTAGAGAGAGAATGAGTTTTAGAAAAAAAGAGAGATTGAGTTTCTAGAGAAAATCAATTTTTAGATATAGAAAAAAAGATTGTATATTAGAGAGAAAGAGATATTGGGTTTTTAGATGGAGAAAGAGATATTAGGTTTTGAGAGAGAGAGAGAATGAGTTTTAGAGAGAGAGAGAGAGATTGGGTTTTCAGAGAGGGAGAATGGGTTTTTAAAGAGATAAAGAGATATTGGGTTCTAGGGATAATGAGTTTTTTAGAGAGAAAATTATAGAGTGGGTTTCTAAACCAAGAGAAATGAGTTACAAATTTTCTAAAAAATAATTTAGCATGTATTTTTAATATAAAGGGATTGTATACAATGAGACCATTTACTTTTGATACAAGTTGGTCACAATCAATTACAACCATCTCGTAAAATTTGATAGTTTGGGTGCATCACAAATTTCAAGTTTTTTTGTTTTTTTGAAGTTTGAACTTGGTCAATAGAATAAATGCAACTACCCAATTTAACTTGGATTAATTGTGACTAGCTTGTATGAAAGGTAAATCGTCTCATTCTATACTTTCCCAACATAAATAACTATGCAATTTTTGTTTAGAGATGTATTAAGAAAGGGTGTGGTTTGTACAAGGTCGAGGCTCTAAACAATCCAAGTAAAGTGCCTCTTCAAATAATGTTGAAAAATGCTATTTCAATACTAGAAATCTTTGTGATGGTTTGAAAATTTATTTTCATATTTAATTATAAAATGTAAATATTCAAAAGTAGTATAGATTTAGCAGATATATGGAAGCTTGAAAATCTTGAAAATTGACAATCCGAAAATGTAACCAGATGCACTATTTTTAAGACTTTAAATCCATTTTTTCTTATGTCCATACATCTTGAGGTCGAGATGATAAATAGTAGAATTTTTTAACTTAAAAAATAACCTCTTTTAATGAATTTTTGAGGCGTGCCCTAGATTGATTGTTTAGAGCCTCGCCCTTATATAAACTTTTACCATTAAGTGATGCCCAATTTTTCATAAAAATGGATATATCAACATTTGCATCATCCACCTTTTTAAATCTTCAATAGAATGACATGTCAATGTGACCGCAACATGCAAAGACGAATATAGAACTTGAAATTTACGGATAGTTCAAGTTTTCAACCTTATAGGTTTCAATATTTTTCACCATGCTTTATTTTAGAAATTCTTTGAACTATGGTGAAATTAATGTTACTACTCAGGTTAATGAAAAGACTATTTATAAGTGATAAATGTATTGGTCTTCATCACTGTTTTATCGGATCTGTGGGTCGAACCTGTCACTCACTAGATCCAAGCTAGATCAGCCTACTCTTCAAACTGGCTCGGTCAACTCATTGAACCTGCTCGATCTATTTGCCATTTTTTGTTACCATTGTAAAATTTTAAATATTGGTTGTTTTAAAATTTCAAACAAGTTTTAGGATTGTCAAATCAATCTAAGAACAAAATTGTTGTAATATTTTACTCATGAAAACATGATTTTTATGGTGAATCAGTCTGGTCCCAATCCTATAGAGGATTCGAAGAGGTCCTCCAATAATTTTGAGCTTGCTAAATGATTCTTAAACATGATCTTGATTAACGAGAGAGAAAAAGAGATGAATTGGTACCACTCTTGATTATTGACCAGTCCGAGAGAATTTGAGAGAGAGACAGTACTCCAAAAGCATTTGAGAGAGAAAGAAAGGGAAAGAGGGAGAAGACCATTCATTATTGATTTTTTATGGGTGTGGCTTGTATAAGGCTGAGGGCCTAAACAATCAAAATAAGGTGCACCTTTAAATATTGTTAAAATACGTTTCAGTAGTGCAATTCTTGGTGATCTCCTCAAAATTCATTTTTATCTCTATTCATAAAATTTTAAACTTCAAAATTAGTGTAGATTGAGTAAATCTACTAACATTTGAAAATCTTAAAATTTTGACAATTCGGAAAATACATTATAGGATGCACTATTTTCAAGATTTAAAATCTATTTTTTCTCATGTCCATGCATTCTTGAGTTCGGGATGACCGATTTGAGGATTGTTTAGCATTTAAACAACCTTTTCTAGTGAATTTTTAAAGTATGCTTTAATTTGATTGTTTAGATCCTCACCCTTGCATAAACTTTTTCGTTCTTGTCTAGAGTGGGGGCCACCAAATCCCATATCCTACGGCACTAATTTGTTGGTGGACAACGCCAAATTGCTTTAGTATTCGGTTGCAAAACGAGATTGAAACCTGTTTCTCTCTCCATCCAATACTTCAATTCCCTTACTCTAGTCATTTATTTATTACATGGACCCGGCTTCTATGCGGCCAAGCGTAGAAATGCAGGCATCTCAATAAATCTATTTTTAAGATGGATTTTAAGATTTAATTATTAAAGACATATAATATCCAACATGTAGATCATGAATATGAAAAAGCAAATAAATTTTAAAATTAGAAATGATAATTTTAGTAAGAAAACATTTGGATTGTTAGTTTCCATTATTTTTAGATGGAACACCTACTTGCATCCATCTTTAAGATGAATGCTTTACATTTTTTGGACTGCATATGTAGAAATGCGGTCTAGCCCGGCATGAAACAATTTTCCTTATTACATTAGCAATATCCATAGGGTGCGGTTTGTACAGAGCCGAAGCTCTAAACAATCAAAGTAAAATGCACCTTCAAATAATGTCGAGAAATATGGTTTCAATACTAAAAATCTTTGGGATAGCTTTAAAATATATTTTCATATTTAATTGTGAAATTTAAAGCTTAAAAAATGGTATGGATGGAGCACATCTATAAAAACTTGAAAGTCTTGAAATTGATAATAAAAAAAATTGCGTTACAAGATGCAGTTTTTTCAAAACTTGAAATCCATTATTTTTCTCATGTTCATGCATCTTGATGTCGAGATGATCAATTTGAAGATATTTCGGCATCAAAACAACCTCTTCTAATAAATTTTTGAGGTGGGTTGTAATTTGATTGTGTAGAGCCTCGGCTCTATATGAACTTTTTCCATATCTATAGCACATATTACATCGAACTAATCTCTTTCAATAAAATATATGTATCTCTCTCTATTATCATCATCACCATCATACACATATTGCATAGAACCAATATATGTGTATCTCTCTCTACCATCATCATCACCATCATACACATTATATAGAACCAACATATTTTAATAAAACATATGTATCTCTCTCATCGGAGTCTTTTTCCAACTAATTGAAGTGGACTACATGAATCGTAATCACCTCCATCAAGAGAAGTAAACACTTCAAATAAAACAAAAGATGGGTATCTCTCTCTATAAACACCGCATTATACTCTAAAAAACTTCATTTCTCCTTTGATGCCATGAACTTATCAATTCCTATAACAAAACACCAACAGGCTCAAACCGCTCAACCTTTTACGAGCCCTCCTCCCCCACCTTTTTCTAAAATCAAACCCAGAACCAAAAACAAAAAGAAAAAGAAAAAGCTAAACCACAAAAAGTAAAAAAAGAAAAAAGAAACATAAAATCTTTCCCTAAAATCAAGAAAAAACTAGAAAAACAAAGAGAAGAAAAAGAATTCCCTCAAGTACAAGCAGGCAGAGGAGATCCACAAAGGCACTTGTTATGAATATAAGAAGAAGCATCAAACCTCTTCATTTCCCCACCTTGTGGAATAGCACCACATAGCCTGTTATAACTCGCATTGAACGACTGAAACATTCCCAAACCCACTATGGACTTTGGTATCTCCCCATATATCGCATTATGGTTCATGTCCAAAACCCCTAGTCCCGTGGGCACCTCCACTTTCCCGAAATCGAAAACAAACTTGTTTCGCGAAATATCGATCGAAAACGTGCTTTTTGTGGCTCCGAAAAGGTGAGAAACGTCGCCCTCCAATAAATTTCGTGAAATATCGATCACGTCGAAATCAATCGAACCAAGAGATTTTGGCACCAGACCCGAAAGCCTGTTATGCGAGAGATAGAGGGAAGGGGTCTTTCCGCGGAACCCACCGAAACTCGCCGGAATCTCGCCTGAGAGTTGATTCCTGTCGAGGTGAAGTGCCACAAGGTTAGGAAGTTGCGATAAAGTGGCAGGAATATTTCCTGAAAATTGATTAAAAGCGAGATCGAGAAATGTCAAGCGGTTTAGCTCGCTCAGCCATTCCGGTACTTGGCCTGAAAATCGGTTCCAGTCGAGGCGGAGAGAGGTCAGGTTTCTAAGGAGCCCGATTTTCGGCGAAATTTCGCCATAGAGGTCGAGTTTTCTCAGGGTGAGCTCGGTTAAAGCGGTGAGTTCTCCGATCGAATCGGGGATTGTTCCGGTCACATTTCCGGCGAAGATAGCGAGCTCGGAGACACGGCCCGTGTCGACGTCGCATGTGACACAATACCAGTCACAACAGTCCGTGTTCGGATCCCACGAGGCGAGGTGGTAGGGGTTGTTTAGGGATTTCTTGAACTCGAGTAGGGCAGTTTTGTCTTTTTGGTAGCACGTAACGGCGTGCGCGACGGAGAGGAGGCAGGAGAGGAGGACAAGTAATGGAGGAGTAACGGAGGTGAATGAGAGAGAAGCCATTTTAAAGAGAGAGTGGGATCGAGTGCGTAACAATGAGAGAGATGAAGGGGGATTTTTTAGGGGCAGGAGAAGAACAAACAGTTAGTTAAGACGTAATTTGCCCTAGAGAAATATTGTAATGACTGTTGGGTACGTGGTCCCACGTAAGAGCGGCATATTGTTGACTGCTCACTGTTCCCAAGCGGCTGTCAAACGCGTGAAGGGATACGCATTTAAAAAAATAAAATAAAATAATAAATAAATAAAACTTCAAATCCCTCGCTCTAAAAAACAGACACCTCTTTAGCAGTTTTGGACAAACTAAAAGCTGCTTTCTTGTACAGGATAAGGGTTTGGTGCTGGAAACCTCGATCGTCCTCGTCCAAATTTATATTTTTGGGAATGGGGTGACGAGGTGGTAGCAGTATTTGAGCCATAGCTCTTGGTCTACATTTTCATTTTCACTAACACATTCGAAAACCACTAATTATTTAAAAAACGGGCAGCTGTTTTTATTCTTTACTTATCTACATCAAAAACTATATTTTCACATAAATCATATTTTCACATAAATCATTTATCTTTTGAACGTGAAAGTTACAATCATTATTGTCACTTATATTTTAAAATTGGTTGTTGTAAGAATGTCATTAGATATACACAAAGTTCCAACAATAAAGAATTATTGGATTTCGTGATTCATCCCAGCCATCCAATTTAACATCTAATAGTAGGGAATGATTGTGACCTCTATTTACAAATGATAAATGATTACTTTCGTAATTTTCTAATGATTGGAAATGATTGTGACATCTATTTACAAATGATAAATGATTACTTTCGTAATTTTCTAATGATTGGAAATGATTGTGACATCTATTTACAAATGATAAATGGTCACTTTCGTAATTTATTCGAGCAAAAATTACATACAGACATGGTTATCGACACGTTTATTATGGTGTGGGTCACAATTTTTTCAAAAATCATGCGGAGACCGACTCCAACCCGCTACCCTCTTTCTAGAATTGCCCTCTTGTCTAGCAATTCCAACGTCAGATAGGTGAAAAATCCCACATGTTTTTTGCGATCTCTATTTTATAAAGGCATGTTTGCTTTCAGCAAAACTAAACAAATACACTTCGATGTTTCTCATACCCGATTGATGTTTCTCATACCAGATGGCTCAACTTCTTAAGCTTTTTCACTTCTAAAAAAAGTTAGCAGGTGGGAGCGGTCTTAGGTAATTTTTGTAAAAATATGACCCACGCTGTAATAAATGCGTGGAAATCCTACCCGTATGTAATTGGTTCCTTTATTCAATGGACAAGTTCAGTTTCAAAGCACCGTAGAAGTGAGCCATCGCTACCACGCATGCGATAAAAAATCATTGGATGGGACCCATGAGCAAGATCTACTAAACCGCACTTTCCATTCCATCGGTTCAAATTGACCATACGATTGATTTGACCTAAATATTGATTGGAAGTCGGGCAACCATGTTGGTAGGGTCTGGGCTGGACCTCGGGCTTCCGGGATAGGCTTGTTTCCAGGCCTTTAACAGGCCCCAGGCTAGGCCAGTATGGATAAATATATTTATTGGGCTGTGCCGGGCTTTAACCGGACCAGACCAGAAAAAAACTCGGCATTTTTCCCAACCGGCCAGGATGGCCCGGTAAGTAGAAAACTGTCTCAGCCCGGCCCAAATGAAACCCAAAACATTTAACATGCCTTTTTTTAATATATGTTTAGAAAAAAAAATTTCACTCTCAACATTTTCTTATTTGTAGTAGGATAAAAAATAATACAAATAATAAATGCCAAATATTTTTTAAAACATTTAAAACTCATTATCTCTCTTGATAAATCAAATCCTTCTTTTTCTCTCTAAAAACTCTAAAAACTCGTTCTTTTTGGAAACCCAACGTATCTTTCTCGAAACCGAATTTCTCTTTAGAACCCATTCCATCTTTATAGAAACTCAATATCACTTTCTCTCTTTAAAAATCACTCTCTCTCTAAAAACCCAATTTATCTTTTTCTTTCAAAAAAACCAGTTCTCTCTTTAGAAACCCAATCTCTCGCTCTCTAAAACCCATTCCATCTCTGTAAAAACTCAATATCTTTTTCTCTCTCTAAAAACCCACTCTTTCTAAAAGCCCAATATCTCTTTCTATCTCTAAAGCCCAATCTCTCTTTCTATCATTCTCTCATTGTATCTCTAAAAACCTATTCTCTCTCTAGAAACCCAACTTTTATTGCTCTCTAAAATCCATTTTCTCTTTCTAGTTCCCATATTTTTCACTAAAACTCTATTCTCTATTGAAATCCAATATCTCTTCTCTCTAAAAACCCAATGTCTCTCTATCTAAAAACCCAATCTCTCTCTAAAACCTATTATCTCTCTACAAACCCAATCTCTCTTTATCCCTTTAGAAAGTCATTCTCTCTTTAGAAACTCAATATTTCGCTTAAAATCCAATCTCTTACTATCTTTAAAACTCATTCTCTCTCTAAAAACCCAATCTCTCTTTTTAAAAACTCATGCTCTACCTAGAAACCCAATATCTCATTCTCTAAAAAAAATCCTTATCTCTGTTTCTGTTTCTCTTTCTAAGAGCTTATTCTCTCTCTAGAGACCCAATCCATCTTCATCTCTCTAGAAACTTAATATCTCTCTCTAAAAATTGAATATCTCTCTAAGAACCAAATCAGTCTATCTCTCAAACAAGAAATTTTAGCATTTGTTGTTTTTGGTTTACTACAAAAAAAAGTTTGAAGAGTGAGATAATAATAATAATCTTTTTTTTTTTCAAAAAATATTTCTTAATGGGCCGGCCTGGGCCCAAACTACTAGTCTTAATAGGCCGCTAATGGGTTTCAGGCCACATGGGCCTTCAATGGTCAATTTCCAAGCCCGGCCAGGACAATTTCGGGTGTTACCGAGCCTCGGGCCCAGCCCGCTGGCAGCCCTATACATGGATGTTGTTTGTATACGCATCAACCTCAAACGTTCAAAGCAATGTGCATAATTATATCCTAGAAGAGGGATGTATTCCAATGCACGAAACTCCGGGATGGCCTTAAAATCTAGTTTTACCTTTCTTCAGGACATTTAAAGATCATGTGTAAATCGAGTATATGTAACAACACTTGAAATTTGTGAAAATTAAGGGTTGTTACAAGATGTTTTATTTTTAGAACATAAAATCTTTTTTTTTCATATCTATATATCACGAGATTGAGATGTTAAATTAGATGGTCTTGAAATGTCGGAACAACCTTTTTCGATCAGGGTGCACCTTATTTCTATAATAGAAGGTTGACACCTTATTGTAAACTTTTTCCACTATCTATATAACCCTTTAGTTTACTGAATTTCAATGTTCGATGTGTTGGGGTTTAAAACCAAGTGGAGAATATTGTTTCAATTTACTATAGGTGTTATTTGGAAATTAAGCACATATACTATGCTTTGGAGATGACTCCCTTGGTCAGAAGGCCTACTTTGGGAGGATTTTGCCGATTTGAAATTTTAGGAACCGCTTAAAAATTATTAGATGATTATTATCAAAATAAAAAAAATTGGAATTTAAGTTTTGTAATTTGAGACATTATTTTCTTTCTAATGCATAGATGGTACACTTAAGAATTATTTTTTTATTGAGGTTAATCTATGGGTTAAAGAAATTACATCCCAAGATTAGAGGTCCTAAAATTAATTTTAGGTGGGGTTTTGCTTGAGAGAGTAAATGGAAATTATACTCAAACATAAATATTATATCTTTTAGCTTGAAAATTATTGGACACGATGGACTTTTAACATAAATAACTACGTAATTTCTATTTAGAGATGTATTAAAAAATACCCAATTTTTCTTAAAAATGGATATAACAAAATTTATATCATCCACCTTTTAAATCTTCTATAGAATGACGTGTCAATGTGACCGCAATATGTAAACACGAATATTGAACTTGGAATTTACCAATATTTCCAGTTTTCAACTTTATACATTGTCCTCTTTCGTGTATATATTGGAGCAGGCAAGGTTGGCCACCTTTTCCAATATTTTTCACCATGCTTTGTTTTAGATTTTTATTTTTGGTAAAATTAATGTTCCTAAACAGGTTAACGAAAGGGCGCGGTTTGTATAGAGTCGAGGCTCTAAACAATCAAAGCAAAAATGTACCTTCAAATAGTATCGAGAGATGTGGTTTCAATATTAGAATTTTTTATGATAGTTTTAAAATATAAAAAAAATATCTCTATATCTTTTATTTTTAAGTTTCATTTTTTATAAACCCAATATTTCAAAACATATATCTTAACACTTTAAAGCTATTTTTTAACCTAAACAGATGTGAAAAATACGTGGTCTTTTTAAACCCCATCTTTTCTCTCTTCGTTTATAGACCCCAAACCTCTCTCGTCACTCATATAAAATGGCTGCCTGCTATCGTTTCACCCCCCCCACCCCTTCTCCTTCAATGGAGTTAAGCCATTACGTCCCTTGATTTATCGCTTCACACTGGATTTGCAACCACTCATTTACATTTTGCAGCATTTTAAACAGAACATGAATCACTAATTCACCATTAAACCTGGGATTTTTGGGAATTATAAGCAATCCAATCCCTGATGAGGTTGATTTCAAGATTTGGGTGTCAATTCTCATATAGGTTTTGCAGGAATGCTGATAAATTCACTCCCATGACTTCGAAGTGGGTAAGGTCTGATCAGGTCATGTATTATAGCAGTGCTCCATTAAAGGAAGAGGAACATGAAGACGAGGTGATAGTAGACCAGAGAGCTCCCAGCTGGTTATGATCTAGAAAATTTTGACCCCACTGAACATAGAGGCCCACCCACTGATAGGGTTTTTAGGCTCGTTGATGAAATATCTGGTCTCACATGCTTGAGGTTTCAGGGCTCTCTAAAATCATGATGAAAACGCTTGCAAAGAAAGAGATTTTAGGCTCGTTGGTTTCAGAGCTCTTTGAAATCATGATGAAAAAGCTTGAAATGAAAG